TTTTTTTTTTTTTGTTAACTTTAATAAATTATTTCCTTTTTGTTATCTTTACAGAATGAATGGCAAAATAGTCACCAATACTACAACTCTTTAATTACCCAATTCTGTTACAACTCTTCGACTAATTTTGAGACAATATTGTTTGAAAATGAAAGAGTCTTCAAAACATTAATGAATAGACGTAATAATAATTATTGGAAGATGAAAGTAATTCCAATTTCAAGAAAGTGAATAAGTGCTTGGCAGATACATGGAACTTTCAAGCCAAAGACTTCCCATTTAATTGATATATTTATTATTTATTGGAAGGTAAATTTACTATTTAGTACAAATTTATTATATGAGTAGTATTTAGATGAGGGATAAAATTATGTCTAGGTTTTTATGGATATTTTAGTAAATCAACTTCACAACTTAGAGCCTTCCCACTTTAATATAGTGTGGATGATAGATAGATATATAGAGGACAAAGTGGGTGAATCTTGCAATTTTTCTCCATGTCATACACTTGTAATGTTTTTCTTCTCCTCAAAAATGTCGCTAGATATGTGTCAAATTCTCCAAAAGTAGTGTATTTTGGGAGTATTCAACATGAGTGTGATAATATTTTGGAGAATCTGAACAACATAGCCTACAATCGACCAAGCATGATACATTTATCATTACGCGTTCTTCCATATTAAATTTTATGAATAACAGTGTTTTGGATAGCGTGCGACAATAAATAGTGACGAGGGCCCGCTTCAGGAGAGGCAAGCAGTGAATTTTTGATGTGAAGCTACAATTTATATAAAAAAATAAAATACTATATATATAACTAAAAACTCAATAGCAATAATATATTAATAAATATATCAATTCAAAAATTAAAAACTCAATAGATAGTCATAGTTAATTTGTGAAAAATTATCAATTCAAAGTGAAGCTGTGAAAAGTTGAAAAACAAAAAACAGAGCAGAAAAAAGAAAGAAGAAGAGAATAAGAACTGAAGAAGCTCTCTGAGCTGAAGAAAAACCAAAGCTTTTCTCAGACTGTTTCGTTGAGTGCAGCAGTGATAAAAAACAGAGCCAAAAAAAAAAAAAGAGAAGAAGAAGAAGAAAAGGAAGAAAAAACAGAGCAACATAGACTCTATTCTGTTGCAGCAGCAACGATAAAAAACAGAGCCCAAAACAAAAAGAAAGAAGAAGAGAAGAAGAAGAAGAAGAAGAAGAAGAAGAAGAAGAAGAAGAAGAAGAAGAAGAAGAAAAAGGAAGATAAAACAGAGCAACACAAACTCTGTTCTATTGCAGCATCAGGATAAAAACAGAGCCCAAAACAAAACAAAACAAGAAGAGAAGAAGAAAGAAGAAAGAAAAAAATTAGAGAGAGTAACAGAACAAAAATTCGAAGAAAAAAGAAAGGAGAAGAAGAAAGAAGAAAGAAGAAAGAAGAAAAGAGATGAAGAGAAGCATACCTGATGAAGAAAGAAGAAAGGAAATCGTTGGTGTGCTGTAGGTGTGATGTCAACTTGAAGGAGAAGAGTAAAGAAAGCGCGAGTCCTAATTTTTTGTTTTAATAGATCGCTGCCTTCTTTTTCTTCTTTTCTTTTTTGCAAAAAGCGATGCTACAGCTCGCCTCACGCTACATAGGCAGATAATCCTGAAGTTTGGGCATTTCATTGTCATATTGAGCCACATTTACATATGGGAATGGGAGTTGTATTTGCTGAAGGTGTTCATCTTGTCAAGAAAATACCTAAAGAAGCTTTGGCTTGTGGTTTGACAGGGAAAATGTTGATGAGTAACAAGCATAATTAATTCTTGTTAAAATAAAATTTGGTTTATGATGAAGTTTAGATAAGAGGGATTTTTTTTTTGGTGATGATTTTTGTAATTTAATTTTGGCTGTTGAAGGTGAGAAGAAATGTGTAGAAAATGGTGTGAAGTGGTTATTTATTTTTGTGCTAATTTATTATGTTTTTGGCGGCGAAGCAAAATATTTAATATGTATGTTATAAAGAGGTTAAGGGCCTCAAGGCTGTTTGGAAATGTATTCACTTGTGTATCTGGCCAATGTTCTGAGTTTCTTTTGGATTAAGGTTACGTACTATTTGTGTATACTTTAAAACTATGGAATATATAGTTTGTCCAGATATTTGTTTAACCAGATATTTACATAGAGACCTTGGCCGCAGTGTCTCTCACTAATAAGCTAGCAAAAAACATGATAAACTATGGATTAGTTATGACAAACTGAGTATCATAACTACTCAGTGTATTAAGGAATAGTGAGTGCATATCTTTCATGCAAGCAAAGGACAATTGTTTCACCTATGCAGGCAATTCAACTAAGCTGGAATAACCTACCAAAGGACTCGGAACAAGAACCATGGGGATATTAAATTGGAGGAATGCTGACCATCAAATTGTTTAATCCAACAATAAATACTTACAGTAGTATTGGTATTGTTGAATTGGTTAAAAGTTAGCATCTTTCTTGGGTGATAGAGAATGGATTTCAATTCCGTCTCTTGCCGAGACAAAAGATACGACCATGCTGATTCCCACACGGCTGGTGGAAGCGTTTCCTAAAGATGCCTCAGTACATTAATCATGCGATTTGCAGTTTTCTTTGTAGCAAGAACCTTGTTAGAACATAGAACCTACAAAAGAAATAATAACAGATAATTACTGATATTTTACCTATACATAAAACTTAGCTTTATAAAAGGCCACATTCCACAATATAAAGAGACAGTCATATTGGCTCCATGAAATTCAAATCAAAGGGAAATAAACAGCTAGATAAATTCTTATCTTATATTTATCAGCTAGATATCTGATAGTCAAATTTATACTTTAAAAAACAGAACACAAACGAAAAATACAGACAATTTTAACTCGTACAATGTCAAAACATTTTAATGCTTTTCTTACAAGAATAAATAAAAGAATCATAGTTGAGAAATCTTTATGTCAATCACAAAATGAACAACTCAGTCTAGCATAAAATAGTTTAGATTTCAAACCAACCTCTGCAAAAACTGAAATAATCTTTGGAAGGTACTGATAGTTGGGACCAAGAAGTTCTCTGTCTAACCTGTAATGAGAAAATTTGGAAAATATTGAGGACTACAAAGGCATTAATATATGAGTTTACTTATTAGAATTTGCAAACAATAAACTAAAAGAACTAGATAAATCCTAGTAAACCAACCAAGACGATAACTTTGTCGGGGACTTGATCGCCAATCAGAAAGGCTACAAAGATCATGCACATAATTAATCTAGCTATATGGGGAGGAACTTGTTAATTTGTTTTTAATCTCAAAAGCTCTCACTAAAACATGCACCTCCTAATGTTAATTTATTAAAACAAGTAAAACAAAACTGTTTCGGTTGCACTATCATAAATTTGGGAAACTAGTTGCGCTACAAAGTACCTCAAGCAGTTTGCTTGGCTAACGAATGCATAGTATACCCAAGATGTGAAATTAGTAAATCTTTTTTGGAACATACGCATGCTTGCACTAAAAACACTTGCAATTTATCTATGGAAAACATTTCTGTTAATTTGACTAAGTCTTTCCTAGAATTGTTAATTTGACTAAGTCTTTTCTATAATTAATTTAAAAATTACTTGACTAAGTCTGTAGTATTTGAACAAGTCAAGTAGTCTTAGGAGTAATCTTAAGAGGAACTGATCACGTCCAACTATGCCTTATAAAAGGGACACGCAGTCGTTGCAAATATAATCCGAGTATTTAGCCCAGGGTCGAATCCACAGGGAATTAACCTACCAATTATTTTTGTTGGACTCACTGAATTCTTCGTAATCAACTTCCCAGATATTTTGAATAACAATTGGTGATATTTTTACTAACTATAACTGAATAAATTTAAGTAACTAAAAGCTAACTATGACTGAGTTGTAAACAAATAAGAGAAGGATCTAAGGTTGTGATTTCCCCTATTGATGGAATCCCTTCCTGTTATGTTTCGCATAGACTTGTCTAATCGTCTCTATCAATCATGAACACTCTTACTACCGTAAATCTCTCCCGAGTAATGAAGACAATTTACTAGACACACTCTCCCGAGTTACGCTAGCTGACTTTTCTTACAGCTCACTTAGATCGCATCCAAGGTTTCGTTATCCCTAATCCCACCTTTAAACCCTAGGTTATTGATTTCTCATATACTTTGGAAGTGGTGGTGTTCAACAACTACCTAAATATACATACTCTCTCGAGTAATACATATTAAATAAGCATAGCTAATTGAGGACCCTATCAATTAACTACAACAAGAACGTAGTTAAACAAATAGAGATTAAACTGGGCAAACTATATTAATATAACAAGAAGTTCATCCCTCAACAGGTTCCATCAAAACCCTAGACTAAATAATTAGCTACTCATAGCAAAGTAAGATAAAAACATAGAAGTATTCATAATTCGCAAGTAATGATAACAAGAAGAAGATTGAAAAACTCTAATGGTGGCTTGATCTTCTCACACTTGTTCTTGCCTCCAATTCAGTCTAAAAACAAGCTTTACCTCTGCTTGCGCGAGTTTGTTCGGTTTATAAAGGGTTAGGATAAGTTTCCTCCTATTTACATTTTAGTCCCCAAATTTTTGGGCGATTACACAGTCGGTCGCGGCCGCGGCCGCTGATGCGGCATGACCGCGATGAAATGCATCCATTCTACCTCACTCTTTTGGCCTACCGCATTCCAGCCACGGTCGCGGTGGTCTCAAGTCCAGTCATACTTTGCCTCTTTCTTGCTTATTTTCATTTGGGTTCTTCTTGATTGGCCTTATATTCACATTTTTGACTCCAAAGCACTCCATAGTCTCTTCCTAACTTGGATTAGTTCCTGCAGAGTAAAAGAACACTAATTAGAGTATTTTGTTATTATTTTGCATTTAAAACAACAATAAAGTATAGTTCATTTAGAGTGTAAATAACGTCTATATAGCCTACTATTAGAAACCTTGTATATATACCCCTTCTCAGGGATGTAAACAGTTATAAAAATATATGACAGGCGCTTTTTCTTCTTAAATTCTTCATGGTATCAAAGGCATTGCTGCCTTTAGAGGCGAGTATTTCTCCCTCGTAGCACTAGGACCCATATTTATAGAAAGAGGTCGAGTTTCCTCCCTCAAACAACTTTTTCCGATCAATAAAACTAAGGTTCCGACGAGGTAGACCTACAGTTCCAGCGAGACAGTGGTTTGGAGTCCAACTTTAACTATGTGGGACACTAAGGGGGTTAATAACACTTGTATGAGAGACGACGACACTTCTCTTTCACAAATAAGTGTCTTAAGATTAGATGGGGCTGATACTTATCTTGTCTGGTCAAGATTTTGTTTGCTTTTTATTAAATGTAGAAAGTTGTTTGGCTATATCACTGGAGAAAATAAAGCACTTGTTGTGACTGATGCTAGTTATAGTCAATAGAATTCTGATAATCCCTTTATTATGACTTGACTATTGAATACTGAGCAACCTCGAATTTATACAAATTTGTTTTTTCAATTTTTACAAAAAGAAAATCTTTAAAAAAATGAAAAAAATGAAAAACAAACATTTTTCAAAACAAATGGCTATAAACTGATTTTTTTTTTTGTAAAAATAGAAAAAAAATATCTTCGTTTTTTAACAAAATATTTTCGTTTTTTAAAAACTAAAAACATTATTTTCAACAAAATATTTTCGTTTTTGAAATTTTTTTTCTTCATTTTTTCAGTTTTTTAAAAGAATTTTGTTTTGTAAAACTGGAAAAACAAATTTGTAAAAACATTAAAAAAAATTTGTTTTTAACAAAATATTTTCGTTTTTTAAAAACTGAAATTTTAAATAAATAAAAAAAACTGGAAAAAATGAAAATAGGGGTCGGGTTGTGGGTTGTGGGTTTTTTTAAAAACGGATCGGGTAAAAAAAAGAAATGGGTCATTTTTAATCTGGCGTTGCCACGTGACACTCCATCCAAAATGGAGATATTTTTGTTTCAAAGTATGACAATAAGGATATTTTTGTTCCAAAGTATGACGGTAGGGGTATGAATAGCCCAATAGTATAACGAAAGGTACAAGTAAACAATATTTGAAAGTAAAGGAGTATATTTAGCCCTTTGCCGATTCAACAAAGCTGGAATAAACTGCCAAAGTACTCGGAGTAAGAATTAAGGGGAAAATACTTGGAGGAATATTGACTATCAGAATGTTTATCCAACAATAATTACAGTAGCAGTGGTTTCATTGAATTGGTTAAAAGTTAACATCTTCTTCAAGTGATAGAATGGATTTTAATTCCATCTCCTGCCTAGGCAAAAGATAAGACCATGCTGATTCCAAGGTAGTTGATGGGAGCGTTTGCTGAAGATGCCTCAATACATTGATCATGCGATTTGTAGTTTTTTCTATAGCAAGATCAATTTCAGAACATATAACCTACAGAAGAAGCAACAGGCAATTACTGAATGTGTACATATACATAACATTTAGTTTGATAAGAGGCCACCATTCCACAATATTATGAGACAGTCATATTGGCACCGGTAGATTGATCGATCAACTTTCTCCATGAAATTTAAATTAAAGGGAAAGAAACACACGAATCTTATTATTATCAGATAAATATATCTTTTTTTTTTTAATTTCTTTTAACCAAAAGAAAAAGCATAAATGAGAAATATAGACAAATATAATTTGTAAAATGTCAAAAGGTTTTAATGCTTTTCTTGCAAGAATAAATAAAATAATCACAGTTCCAAATTTTTTATATTTATCACAAATGAACAACTCAATCTAACATCTAATAGTTTTGATTTCAGACTAACCTCTGCAAAAACTGAAATGATTTTTGGAATGTACTGATAGTTGGGACTAATAAGTTCTCCGTCTAACCTGCACGTGAGAAACTTTGGTAAAACAGTGAGAACCATATAGAAAGGATTTATTATATGAGTTTGTGTATCAGTTCAAAAACTATAATAGAAGTCTATTCAGACCATAATATTATTTAGTTTGATTGACTAATGATTGCTTAGTTTTCCCAAGATGCGATATTAAGAAATATATTTGGAACAAAATGCATGCTAGAACAAAGAACACATAATTTATCTGGGCAAAACATTTCTAATCAAGTACTGATATTGTAAAGTGAAGACCGGAAAAGGATGAAAAGTAGAGCAAACTAATATAGTACCTTTCAACCATTGAACATAGTAGGTCATGAACATATTTGGCTGCAGCCATGTCACACTTTATAGGCAGGCAGTTTAACCAAAGCGGAATAATCTACCAAATAATTTTGGAATTAGAATTATGAAGAAATTATAACAAGATTAAATAGTATTTATGAGTCAACTATAAGATAAACAGAAAGAAAAAATAATAATTCTAACATAAGCATATACGATATGTAGGCTTAAGAATGCGCTAAAGTGTGTAACCATCTCATCTAAAAGCTTAAGTTGTTAAAGAGAATACACTTTTATTTACTTAATTATATCTTTAACACGCCCCCTCATATACGGGCTTGATTCTTTTTTATGAGCCAAGTACGTGAAAATTCTTTTTGATATTGGGTGGCGGTGAGATTCGAACTCAGGACCTATGACTGCTCTGATACCATATTGAAGTGTGTAACCATCTCATTTAAAAGCTTAAGTTGTTAGAGAGAATACACTTTTATTTACTTAATTATATCTTCAACAGAATGCATAAACAAATAAACATTAGAGATTTCGAAAAGGACAAACCTAGGCTGATGAGTCAATATTTTCCCAGTGAAACTGAAAAGTCTTACCAAGAGCATAAACAGCATTATCAAATGCACTTTCATTCTCAGGTTCACGAGCCCGAAAGTGCAATATCACTACATTGATCCTTGAAATAGCCTCTGAATCATTTCATGAGAATTAGTAAGTAAAAATATACTAGAAAGTATCATCACCTTTTGTCATGATATTATACCTTTAACAACAGGTTTGAAATCATAACCACCATATTCGGCATAAAGCACAAGTCCATAAAGAGCACACTGAACACAACGTCAATGGTGTTTGGTTAAATCATATAGTGAAGCCACCACTTGAATAAAGAACTTGTCAGCAACCATTAAGATAACCAAACCTGTCTAACTGCTGGACTTTCGTCATTACTCGCATCCAAAAGCAAAGGAAGAAATTCATCAGAGTACCTAGTTGGACATAGTGAGTAAATTTATCAAAACGGTGGAACATTTAAGGAAAAAACAGATCATACACACTTTAGAGCCACTTCAGGGCACTCCTCCAGAAGATGATCAAAGATAAAAAATGGTGTGCATCTCTCTTGAACTGTCATTTCTTTGCCCTTCATATAAGCAAAGAAATATTGAAAGAAAGAAATGTAAATTAAGATATGTAAATGAATAACAAACTAGAGCTAGAGTTAGGATGACAGTGGTAATCATGTTGTGAACTTACCCACATAGGAATTAAGTATGATGA